TGACCAAATACTTATTTTCCACCCTGATTTACGAATAAATTCTTTACAAATCCTACCATGTGGATTCATGGATTTTTTTTTCACATTCTGTCTCTCACAGTTGAAGTGTACCTCTGGTGCAAATTACTGACCTCTGTCATCATTTTAGGTGGGGGAACTTGCACAATCGGTGGCTGACTAAATACTTTTTTGCCCCACTGTATATCTTGGCCGGAACCCACATGACACAATGTATTCCACTGTGAAGAACGAAGCCTTGGCCATTAAGTGGGCACTGGAGAAACTCCAATATTATTTGTGTAGATGGGAATTTGATCTGGAAACTGACCACCAAGCAGCCACTTGGATCAATTCGAACAGAATTACAACAGCTGCCTGTTACAATGGTAACTCTCACGTCAGCCTTTTAGGTTCACCATCAGCAAGTGTAATATAGTGGCAGATTACCTCTTACCAAGATTACCAATCTTGACATAATGAGGCCAGGAAGGGGACGACTTTGACTGTAGACATGGATGTGGGCTTGCACACAGGCATCCAGATATTCCACACACATGTGGATGGATGTCTCAAGGCCAAACAGTCAAACAAAAGGGAAGGGTGACCACTGACTTCACTATTTAGCAGCACAGGTGCAGTCAGCATATATTCTCGATTACCTCTCACTAAAATCATTGTGCGCAGTCTCCCCGCTGTCTTCAATGCCGGATGGGTAAGACGAGGCTTGGATCTCCTGGTATTAACCAGTGGGTTTGCGAACACTTGGGGTCACGTGAGCTGCATTATTCTGGGTTTATTTTTTTCCTTATAACGAGCCTGTTTAAGTTGCCTGTTGCTCATATGGATAACGAGAGATCTTCTGGTGACAATGATAACAATCTGTCAAATGATTAATGAACTCACCTCAACCATAGAGAGAAGATGAAGAAACTACACTGAACCAGGTGCAGGAGCTTTTAGTAGTTAAACAGAGAAACTGACCAACTGAAACAACAGTTGGAAGAAGAAGCAGCCCAAAATGTTGGCAATAATAACCAATCTGATTGTTCCTTCAAAAAGTAGCACAAGCAGATAACAAAGATGACTCAACAACAATCATTACAGCAGGTTTATACTCAACCAAAGACAAATGTAAAGTCTTTGCGCTTCTACAAATTTAAATTTTTGAACATCGTCATTGTTTAATAGCTTTTAGTTGCTTTTTCTTTCCTTTGATGGTAAATTTGTTAATATTTCTAGCTGATTAGGAGACTTATTGCATTTCAAATGCATGTCCAAAGGCTGCTAGACAATTATGAAGCGTAGACTATAATAGACATGCTTACCATCTGACAGCACTGTGGGTGTCTCGGGGCAGAGAACCACACAGTACTGTTACAACTGTCTTTCGCAAGGCCGACTTTCAGAAACTCTTTGTGTAAGTAACAAAGTCTGTTCTGTAGTCGTGTGCCTCTTTGACTCACATTCAGGCATCAACTGGTCTTTCTGCAAACTGGACCCACACAACCTCACGCTGACCTCAATGACAGAGCTGCTAGTCCACATTCACACTCCTGGACAGTGAAAAAAACTTGTAGCAGCAGCTTGGGTCTTCATGGTTCCCAGAGAATTACAAACTAAAGAAAAGGACCCAGACAAAAATCAAATCAAACTGTACAGATGGAAGAGTCCACACCCACGCTTAGTATGACTAATAAAAAACTTATATCTGCCAGTTAAACGTGCCGTTCAGATCACAGTCTAAATACAAGTAGTACTACCAATCCACAATAGCAAGTTATAGAGATTTAATCATCCAAAATGTAAATATTTAAATAAGGTTTAATTCTCCCTAGCCTCAGGATAAAGCAAAATTAATTAAAGCATCCTACATTTGATTGAAATAATTCCAATTTGCATAAACTGAGACTGAAGCCCAAAATACTTGTCACACATGATAAAATAGAAATTAATTAACAGACATCTATTATTTTATACGTATGGCATTTAAATATGGCATTGAGCTTAGTACCTTAATATTGAATATATATAAATATATAATTTGTATAAAAAAATACACTTTCAGCAGGTTTTTATTCAGATTACATGAAATCACAGGTACCAGAATAAAACCTTAAAACACATCAATTAAAAGGAGGAGGCAGAGGCCAGCCCAAGATACATGAGCAAAGGTGCTAGTTATGGGGGTCACACATGCACACTTATATGTGGAACCAGTTATATACGATCTGAGACTTTAATTATCTTCAGACGTTACATCCATTTAAGAGCTCTGCACTGCTCCTCCCAGGTTCTAGCCAAATCCCCCTTTGGGTGATCACAGTACTGGTTTCTAAAATCTTTAGACGTAGTGAGTGCAGAATGTGGTTTAGGTCGTCTCCAGTTCCTGCCATACAGTTACTTCCTTTGCTTTTGGGTACTTGATTGGCTGACTCTATCAGGTCCTAATGATAAAATGACTAAAATCAAAATGTTGGACTTCCTGTTATGTTACTATTTTTCACCATAGCTGACATGTTTAGGTCCTCACAAAGGTCAGACATTTCCCTGACTAATATTAAACCGGCCGGATACAATGAGGTGCTTGCACTTTTAGGTGCAATGGAGAATACTCACTTTTGCATGTCTTGCTGATCTATATCGTGTTGAAGCACCAACTAAAATTTCACCTACATGGGATGATGATTACCCAATTGCCAGTATTGGTAGCCGGGAATCGGTCCGCCAGGACCTCCGCTCCTGGCCGCTTCCCGACTCACATTGCACCCGACCCCTACAGTGCCTCCTGCAGGTGGTGGGTCTGCAGGAAGATGGGCCTATGTCCCTTTTTCGGGCACAGCCCACCAGATGCTTGCCCTCGGGCACCCTCTCCGGGCCTGGCTCCAGGGCTGTGCCCCGGTAACCCTATTCCGGGCAGGGTGAACTGTTCCCTCGATGGTCTTTTCATAGGGGTCTTCTGAATTACTCTTTGTCTGGTCCCTCACCCATGGGAGACCCTACCAGGGGGCAAAAGCCCCCAGACAACATAGCCCCTGGGATCCCTGGGACACACAAACCCCTCCACCACGATAAGGTAGCGATTCGCGGAGGGGGGAGCGGGAGATCGACAGATGGATTGGTGCAGCGGCTGCAGTGACAGCACCGGTCCGTCGTGGTGAAGAGGGAGCTGAGTGTAAAAGCAAATCTCTCAATTTACCAGTCGATCTACGTCCCTACCCTCACCTATGGCCACGAGCTGTGGGTAGTGACCGAAAGAATGAGATCGCGGATACAAGCGGCAGAAATGAGCTTCCTCCGAAGGGTGGCTGGCCTCTCCCTTAGAGATAGGGTGAGAAGTTCGGCCATCCGGGAGGGGCTCAGAGTAGAGCGCTGCTGCTCCACATCGAAAGGAGCCAGCTGAGGTGGTTCGGGCATCTGACAAGGATGCCCCCTGGGCGCCTCCTGGGTGAGGTGTTCCGGGCATGTCCCACCGGGAGGAGGCCCCGGGGCAGACCCAGGACACGCTGGAGAGATTATATCTCTCGGCTGGCCTGGGAACGCCTTGGTGTTCCCCCGATAAGCTGGAGGAGGTGGCTGGGGAGAGGGAGGTCTGGGCTTCTCTGCTTGGCTGCTGCCCCCGCGACCCGGCCACGGATAAGCGGAAGAAAATGGACAGATTGATGGATGGATGGGATGATGATTATAATCTACTGCATATTTTCTGTTGCCACTAGGTGGCGCCATAATAGTGACCAATATTAGACGTCTGACAGTTTGGACTCAAGCATGCCCAGTTTTTGACAGACTTGACAATTGAGAAACCAGTTTCTGTCATCACTATGTGGTGCTGTGACTATTGTTAAAAGCTAACATAGTACTGGGTTCAGGGATGGACCCATATGACAGGTTTGGTCCAGATGGATGATGTATGTGAAACTGAGCAAATATAGTTCAAAAAGTTAAAAAAAAGCATCCTGTAGTCTCAGTATGTGAAACCTGTAAAATATGAACATTTTCTCTGTTACTGAAGCATGTGCACACACGGTCATGACTTTAGAACGTTGATTCATTCCATAAAATAATAATAATCCACGGAGCAGACACAATAACGCCTCTGCACTTTGTGCTGAAGACCTAAAACTGAATGAAGCAGACAGAATAGGGGTTTCGCACTAAATGGATCAGATACAATAGGATACAATACGGCTCTTGCAATTTCAGTGCTCGGGCACCAACTATTAGACTACCACAGGTAGGGATGGGAGTCGAGAGCGAATTCTTGTAGAAAACCAGTCCCTAGAAGTCCAGTTCCTTGGAATTGTTAGTCTGCCTTATCAATGATTCCCCTTATCAGTTCGTGCACAATCAGCTAATATCAGTTCGTGTGTCAGACGAGGAAAACAGAGGCGCAGTCTACAGAGTGCATATAGAAATATAGTTTTATTGCACCAAAGGACGACAGCATGATGGTAAAGTGGAAAACTGCATCCAGGACATAAACAACCGCATTATGTTGCTAACACAACTTTGGTTCTTTGCAAGCTTCTGCACAGACAGCATGCTAATGCTAAGCTAGCCAAGAGCCCAGAGTGAAAGCTAAGTGAATGCCGACCCCAGCAGCCAGACCCTGAACTTCAACAGGTAACAAGCTGATGAGCAGTTAGGCTGCAAACTCCCGTTCTACCTGTTCATGTTTCTAAAGCAGAAAGACTCTCATGCAATTAATTTGCATCAATGTAATTTCTTTATTACTGCTTAGCAATCATGGTTACTCTGAAAACGGAGCCAATGAGAATCAATAAGGAAGCAAATCGATAAGTGATATCGATAATGGATTCGGAAGCGCTAAATTCTTATCAATTCCTATCCCTAAACTCCAGGGCTGGAGGTCTCAAAACAGTAAGTCGAGTAGGTCTTGGAAATGAAAAACATGCATATAGTTAACAATATTATTTCTCAATGATAACTGTAACTATACCAATGTTTTAAAATGGCCTGATGGACAATGTCCTCCATGTTACCTTCTCGGTGACACTCTGCGTGTTGATCTGCTTTCTCAGCTCCAGGCTCAGCTGCCTGAAGCGTGCTGACTTTTGCTCCGCCCCTTCGCTACACACAGAATTGCGATACGCCTGGATCACGGGTCGCTGCTTCTCAGGTACCAGCAGAATCTTGCTCAGCTCAGAGGACCTGTCCCCACAGGTGAGGTCCTCAAGTGTGGATGCAGTTAAGAGGCTGTCCTGTGAACAACAGAAACACTTTACATGACCAAAGGTCCTGATACGTTAGTCGGTAAAGTCTTCATAAAGACTTTCAGGCTCTGTGTGACACACACACACACACACACACACACACACACACACACACACACACACACACACACACACACAGAAGGCAAGTATTAATATTTAATATATGTATTGAAAATATGGATCTGTTTATTGTTAGTATATGTGGGCCAAATGTTGATGACCCCTCCTTTTTTCATACCTTCTTCTCTTCACTTTCAGCTTCACTCTGACAGCAAGAGTCAGAAGAACTGACAGTCTACACTCAAACAACACACATGTGATTTTGGTCTTTGCGATGTGGCGTTCACATCCCTCTCAGAGGCAAGAAAAAGGTCACACACTGGACTTGGTGCTTTCCCGCGGGCTGGATGTGTGCATCACGGAAATATCTGAGTTGTGCATCTCTGATCGTCTTCCTGTGTTGTTCACTCTAACGCTGCGCTGCTCGGTAGATAAGCCGTGCGCCCCAGCGCACAAAAAGCGAGCGCTTAATGCTCTAACAGCGCCGCTTTTTCTGCTGCCTTTAGGGACTCTGGAATAATAAACTCCAGCTGTAAAAGTGTTGAGGACCTTTCGGACAATCTTCATTCTACAGCACTGATATTTTGGACTCGATTGCTCCGTTTAGGACTGTTTGCACTAAGCAATTATCAGAGCCGTGGTTGAACGAACATACGCGCTCCCTTAGACGTGACTATAGACGCGCCGAAAGATGGAAAAAGGACAGATTGCACGTTTCTCTATAGATTTTCTCGTCTTTCTGCTCACCAAGAAGCTGTAAAAACTGCAAAGACACAGTTTGTCTCAAACTTGGTGTCAGTAAACAGTCACAGGCCTCAGGTACTTTCTAATGTCCTTAATCGTTTTCTTGGTTCACGTGATAATGCTGGAGTCATTTCTTCACCAAGTATTTGTGATGATTTTTTAGCATTTTTTAACAACAAGGTTCTATCCATCAGGGCTGTTGTCTCGTCGTCTGCTGCCTCAGATCCGAGTCTTTCTCCTGTGTGCTCAGCTGTCTTTGATCCCGTCTCCCTTAATGACTTGACTGCGGTAGTTAGTAACCTAAGATCATCACACTGCCCCTCTGACTGTCTCCCCCCAAGCTTGCTTAAAAGCACTTATAATACTGTCGGGCCTTTTATCCAGAGATTAATTAATACGTCCCTTGCTACTGGCTGTGTCCCATCATGCTTTAAGAGATTTAAAGGGATCTGCCCTACAGTGGTTTCGGTTCCACTTGTCAGGAAGGTCTTTTTAAGTCAATATGGGCCCCCATAAATCCAAAATAGCCCCTCTTAAATACGGTGTACCTCAAGGCTCTATTTTGGGCCCTGCCCTGTTCGCCCTCTATTTGTTGCCATTGGGCTCCATCTTCTCACGGTACAGCATTTCATTTCATTAAATTTCTAAAGCTAAATGAAAATAAAACTGAAGTTGTCATTTTCGATAGCTCTCTGGGCCCCTTTTCCTCCTACTGTAAAACACATGTCAAAAACCTCGGCGTCTACCTTGATGGTTCTTTTAAATTGAATAAGCAGGTGAGTGCAGTAGTTCAGTCCTGCTTCTTTCAGTTAAGACAGCTGACCAAGGTAAAGCCAGACCTCCCGGCTAACGTCTTTCAACGTGTTATTCACATTTTCCTTACTTGCAGGTTGGACTCCTGCAATTCATTGTATTTTGGTCTAGACCAGACCTCCATCCATCGTCTTCAGATCCAGCTGCTCGCCTGCTAACTGGTACCAAACGGAGAGAGCATATAACCCCAGTTTTAGCTTCTCTACACTGGCTTCCTGTCTCCTACAGGATCCAATTTAAACTTTCACTTGTTTGTTTTTACGTGTCTGAGCTCCTCTCTGTTTATGCTCCAGGAAAAACCATCATGTCTAGCTCAAGATTAATGCTTTCCATGCCACGGACTAGTCTCAATCTCGTGGTGATGGAGCCTTCTCTGTGGCAGGTCCCAGACTTTGGAATAGTCTTCTCCCCCTAAATATTAGATCTGCACAAACACTTGACCAAATTTAAATCACTAGTAAAGACACATTTGTATGCCCTGGCTTTTAACACACTATGACCCAAGCATTCTGGTCTTATTTTAATATTCTTAGTTATTGTTTTAATTATTTTATTGTCCTATCATTGTATGATATTGTTATTATTGTTTTACATTGTCTCTTTTAATGGCATTTTATATTGTTAAGCACTTTGTGCAGCATTGTTTGTCTGGAAATGTGCTATACAAATAAATTTGACCTTGACCTCTCTCAGGGTCATCCAGTACACCACTCACACTTTTACTTTACTACTTTTTAGTTAGCAGCTCCATGATGAGGCTATTATAGGCACTCAGATTTATCCTGGAACTATCAGTGATCATGCACCGGTCTCTCTCTCAGAATAGAAAACTATTCTGAAGAAGTACAAAAATCTCTTCCTAGATCACATAAGTTTGCAGAGAATATCTGCCTCCTCAAAATACCAACTGGATGATGTTTATCTGGACCACTGAGCAATTCCATTAGTACACGTGGTCGGCTAAAGTTCTGTCTCCCTGTCGCCTTGCCGGTGGATGAAGGTGGTCTCTGGGACTGTCTGTGGTGGCTTCCTGGGGCCTGGAGAGCTGCAGCTGCTGTTTTAGGGTGTCTGTGTGTCCGCCTTGGTTGGTGGGGGACTGGGGTAGATGCTAATACAGCTGATAAATTTGGGGGAACAGAAGAATCATAAGCTGGAGAAGTGATATGAGATGGTAGCCATTGGTTTGTCCCGAGCCAATTCAAATACACTTTTTTGCTTACATGTGACCACTACTCATGCTAGGGAATTCATCTAGGTCGGAGTTTTCTCCAGGACACAGGTCAGACTGACTACTTTTTCTTTTGTACAGTCTGATACCTTCTCCAAGTCCACAAAACACGTCGTCTGGTTGGATAGACCCCCATGCACCCTCAAATATCCCCGCGAGGGTAAAGAGCTGGTCCGGTGTTCCACGACCGGACGAAAACTGCATTGTTCCTCCTGTATCTGAAGTTTGACAAACGGATGGATTCTCCTTTCAAGCACCCTGGCATAGACTTTACCAGGGAGGCTGAGGAGCTATAGTGGGAGAACACCCTCCAGTCTCCCTGTTTAATGATAGGAACCACCACCCTGGTTTGCCAATCTAGAGGTACTGCCTCTGGATTACCAAGTAATATTGTAGAGGCGTGTCAACCCGCACAGCCCTTCAACACCCAGAGCCTTCAGGAACTCAGGATACACCTCATCGACCCCAGGGGCTCTGCCCCCAAGTTGTTGTTCAACTGCCGCAGTCTGCTTCCTCTATGAAGGACGTGCCAGTGGGATTAGGGAGGTCCTCAAAGTTTTCCTTCCACAGTGTGACAATATGTTAAAAGCACCAAACACAGTGTTGATAAAGCACTGCTTCCCCCTCCTGAGATACCTGACAATTTGCCAAAATTGCCTTGAGGCAGTCTGAAAGTCTCGTCAAACTCCTCCCACCCCCGAGTTTTTTCTTCAGCCACTGCCAGAGCCACGTTCCACTTGGCCTGCCGGTACCTCCTGGCTGCCTCCAGCCCCACAGGTTAACCAAGCCCGATAGGACTCTTTCTTCAGCCTGGTGGCTCCTTTCACCTCCAGTGTCTACCATCTAGCTCGGGAGTTACCATAATGACAGGCACCAGATACCTTGCAGCTGCAGCTCAGTGCAGCAGCCTCAGCAATGGAGGTGCTGAATATGGTCCATTTGGACTCAGTGTCCCCTGTCTCTCTCAGAACGCTGTTGTTGCTCTTCCGGAGGTGCAAGTTGAAGATCTTGTGGACCGAGGCCTCTGCTTGGTGTTTCCAGAGCACCGTCACTATACGTTCAGTTGCGCCAGGTCTGTTAAGCATCCTTCAGAGAACTTCTGGAGACTGCACAGAGACCTGCCATCTTCAGAAGTTTTCTGATGACTCTGGGATGGCTGGATGCATCACTGAGGTTGATAAGATGGAGTCCCGGGCTGTGGTTGACTCCTTTGTCACGTGGTGCGAGTAGAAAGACTAAAGAATTGACTGTGGACTTTAGGAAGACCAGGAAACCTTGAACCCTGTTACAATCCAGGGGGTTGATGTGGAGATTGTGGAGGACTATAAATACATTGGAGTGCACATAGATAATAAACTGGACGGGATTTAGAACACCACTGCACTTTACAGGACGGGCCAGAGTCGTGTCTATTTTCTGAGGCAGCTGAAGTGTTTAAAACATCATCTTTATGACCAGTGCCATCCTCTATGCTGTTACATGCTGGGGCAGCAGCTCTGTAGCTAACCACCATGCAGCACATTTTTTTGTATACTTTATTAATCCCATGTAGGGAAATTATTCTCTGCATTTAACCCATTCGCTCAGTGAAGCAGCTAGCCCAGCTAGCCCAACCTCAGTAACCCTACAAACGCCACTGCTGTTTAGTCTTAGTTTATGTTATAGTGATAGCAGAGCTGTACGACTAAATTTTTCGAAAATCAGAACATGGTATTTTATTTAATCTTAATTTTTGGGGGGAAACTTCCCTCATACCACTAGAGGGAGCTCACGTACCACCAGTGGTATGCGTACCACAGTTTGAGAATGACTGCTCCAGAACATACGGCCTCAGACCTGATGATGCGATTACAAAATCGATCATTGAGCTGCAGCCTAGGATGTCCTGGGGCCATGTGCACGTATGGACACCGTAATGATGGAAGATGGTCTTTGTTATGAACAAACTGTTTGCACAGAAGTCAGATAATACAACACCGCTTGGGTGCAGATAAGGCAGACCATTCCTCCCAGTTACACCCCTCCAGGTCTCACTGTCGTTGCCCACATGAGCCTTGAATCAGAATCAGAATCAGAATCAGAATACTTTATTCATCCCGAGGGAAATTAGGGGTTACAGCAGGCAGCACGCTAATGGCGCATGCGCACTCACAAAGGAACCTTCTGACCAACTATACACAAACATCACATTGGGCAGACATGTCAGAAGGTAGGCTGATAGGAAAAAACAACGAAAATACATTACACGAGGTAAGAGGAGGAGAAAAAAAAAACTCCACTCAGACTGAGCTCCTAGTGGGAGAACAGTTTGATAAAAGAAAAAACACCTCAGCACAAAAGCACATGATTATCAATACACCATAGAAACACGAGACAAGCAACAGGGGCGGGTAAAGGGTAAGAGAGAGCCGGCGTAGACAGCGCATCCGGTCCTGCAGCATCTGTGCTGGTCCAGTTGACTGCTATCATCCCCGGTAGGGCACAAGCATCGAAGGCGTTGGAAAGGGAGGGGGATGAGTGAGTGCTTATCAGTGTAAGTGTGTGTGTGTGCGTGTCCATAGTTCAGCGGAGACAGTGTCCTTCGGCCTATCAGGCTAAGTAAACAGTCCTCCAGCCGATCCAGGTGTCCTTCATGGGATGGGAAGAATAGTCATCACACAGTCGTTATCAGGGAGTTGTTTTGGTGAGCTCCAGCCTTGGGCCTGAGCAGCTGGCGCCATGGTGTCCAAATGTAGAATATTGTTGATTTCTCCTTTATGCGAGCAGCGAATTTAGCACTCTGACACTGGGGCCTCGATTTCCCGTTGGAGCGCTGCGAGCCTCCCCATGATGGTATCAAGCTTCTGTTCCGTGGTGTTGTCATTCTTTTGATTCTGAGACCCCACAGCTGCAGTGATCCGTTCTGCGATGTTATCCAACTTCCGCTCCAGGGTGTTATTGTGAGCAGGCCCCTCTCTGATGTATCCCATCATACGCTCAATGGTGTTAGTTTGAGTCTTCACGGCAGCTGTAAGCGTCTCCAAGGTGTTGACCATGCTGCGTTCGGTGTGGGAGGCCGCGCCTCGTCCCATCGCTTCAATTCCAGCGGTCAGCTTAGGGGGGGTTTGAACAGCTGGTTCCGCTCTCTTATTTCTCCGATAAGTCAGGGCCAAGCCAGCTCCGATCAGCAAGAACCCTGTTATCATGGTTCCGAATAGGTAGATATCTTCAGCGTCCTCGATAGACAGTCCCGCCAGGCACAAGATCCTCCAGGTCTGCCACCCATCCATCGTGTATCCGGCAGGGAAAGTCCCTCCAGGGCACTCGGGCTCTCCCGAGCCCAGACTTCTCGTTGAGAAGAGGGTGTCAATAGCGTTCAGAGACCAGTTGATCAAATCCATAATTCTCTGTTAGGTTTTAGAGAACGACAGTGAGAGACTGTTCAAGGGAAAAGTAGTGCACGCGAGACAAGACAGGACACAAGAGGCTAAGCAGGGAAGATAAGGGGAAGGAGGAGAGGAGAAAAGTGCGACCGCCTTCACCGAGAGCCAAAAGAAGTCTTGAAGCACTTACTTCTAACTGAAGGACTCTGTCTCTAGGTTTTTGTGTGGTGCCCTTGGCCTGTTGAATCCAGCTGTGGGCTCCTCCGCCATCTCCGAAATGTGTACCGACGATAAGGCTGTAAACCTACAGATCACACACAAAACTGTCAGCGAGTCACTGCGGAGCTTCTGGATCACTGTTCTAGTGCTTTCTGTTCAGCCACACCGGAGGGTTTTTGAGTATGAAAGGCCCGTTAAACGTCAAGCCAAATTTAAGTACGGACTTTGACTAAGCCACTCAAAAACCTTTTGTTTTTTAACCACTCAGCCGTGGAGTTGTTGGTGTGTTTCCAATCACTCTCGTGCTGCAGAGCCTTTGTGTGCTTGAACGTCAGGCCACAAACTGATGGCCAGAATTGTGTGACTTGATTTTGGCATTGGAAAACAAACTGGTATAGAAGGATAAGATAAAACTTAAAAAGCAAACGTTAATAATACAAAAATGTTTTTTTAAAATACATTTATACATTTATTTATTTTTACTTTTGTGCAAAACAGTTTCTTTTTATGCTCCGTGGAACTCCTCTGGCATGTTTGGGAGGGACTGAGAGGAGGGGCTTCACAGCCAAGTCTTCACAGGTGTAATTTGCACAGATCGTGGACACGACCAGCGATCCATCTTTACTGAACAACTTTGTAATGGACGTTTGATCTCGGGATATTTCTTTGCTCTTTCCAGCTTCAATCCAGCACTTGAAGCTGGGTTGAAGCTGGGTTGGCTTAAAGACATTTGCTCTAAACTAGCTTATTAATTGCACACACATTTGCAGGAGTATTGTGTGAGCTAACTGGATTCCCTGCAGTGCAGATCCTTCTTAAGAGTTAGAGACCAGTGTGTTACTGGAATCCAGGTCCCCTCTGCAGCCACATGCTAATGCCTGACTGAAGGAAGCTGTCCATCCTCTGACTCCCTCTCAGGACACTAACAGAGTTCTTTAAAGTACTAAAGCTAACAATGCAACAATGTACTCAAGAACACACCAGCACAACATACTGTCTGAATAGTAGTTGAAATAACTGAGAAGGTGTTTCAGGTGATATGGATGAGTTATCTGGTGGATACAGAAACTGCAGTTTCTCATCAAAGCAGAACACAATGATTACAACAAACATTAAGCAACAGCTGTTCATGAGTTTACTGCACCAATGCCATCCAACCCTTCACTTAATTCAGGATTATATTGTATGATTATTCAAAAGCATCACAAAAACTTTTTGATGAAGTTTGAGCATCACCTATCATTTAGTTTACAACTTTATATTTGGATTTATCCTTTTCATTTCTTTAAACTTCAAAAAGTCTTGAAGATTCATGTTTACCTTCCCAGACTTTTACCTACTGTAATTATTTTGTAACTGCCTTCTGGGCATTATGAAGGTTTTGTCCTTTGCACGTTGGCTGCTTTTTAAATTGATTTTGTAATGGGATGGAAAAATGACCATAGCAACTCGGAAAAAACAAACCCAAAAGAGTCGCATGACATATTATAAAATAACAGCAATTTACCTGAGCTGAGATGAACTGAATGAACCAAACAGAGTGAAGACTTTCTGTTAGTAATGGTAAATCACCTCTGCGAGGCTCACTGGAGTGTTGAGCAGAAGCTTGGCTATGGAGTCAGACAAGGAAAGGTTCTTGATCAGGAACTGTTGGAAAACGGATTCATTCTTCAACACGCTGGCCAGAGTGAAGCCTGCACCCAAAACACATGAAATCATGTCAACGCTTTCATGTCATTCAGCAAAACAAGAGTTTTGAAAGTAACATGTATATATGTATTATGTATGATCGAGACGTTCTACTACTGCACTCAGAGGAAACGAGTTTCTTCTTCTCGAGCGCCATCATTCTGCTCATGGCTCTCCTGCTACATAAGATTAGATTCCCAACTGTGCGTATGTTGGTTTGAAATTTCACTGTGGAGCTAAACTGAGTTCATCTTCATTTTGAGGGTCATCACTGGAAGAAGAAAACACACTGTGGCTTGTCCCAATGCAGGATCTTGCACCGACTCGCTAACACTTTGTCCTCTTTCTCAAAAGGAAATTCAAAACACAAGAACTGTTCCGAAATGGTGAAGCACAGACTTCCACAAAGCAACAGTCAAACTGGATTTAGTACAGCTGGAAGTCACTGTGACGCTGCTATTGATCAACTATGTTGCTGCCATCCCATGATCAATATCTCAGTCTTTCCTTTTATTTATATTTTTGGTCTCAGTGGAATTACCATCCCCACCCTAAATGAGCATAGCCCCTCCACCCTTATTTATTTATATCATATAACTGCTTGTGTACAGCCCCACAATGTGTCTGTTTCAATGTTTCTATATAGTTTACTCACATATATGTATACATATATATTGCTTTTTCCTTGTTGTATATTGTTTTCTTTACTTTGCACCTTTGCGGTCCAGCTATCCAATTTCGCTGTACAAGAATCCGCACAATGACAACAACAGCTCTAAAGTCTAAAGTGTAAAAGTCACACCTTGGCTGTTGTTAAAGTTGTGGTCATGTGGTAATGGGGTGGAGCTGAGGCTCTCCAGGTGCTGCTGCAGGGTCTCCAGCTCTTGACCTAAACCAGGTCTATCAGATGTGAAGAGCTGATTCTGTTCAACCACTTCACTTATCCGCTCCAGCAGCTGGGTCACACTGAAACAGATTCAGACATGAAACATTCTCACACCTCAAAAGAAGAAGAACACAGTCTCTCTACAGGCTGGAGCTAATGACGGGTTCTGTAATATGTTGACTTTTTAGTGCCTGCACATAAAAACAGTGTTGTACATGTTGCCTCAGCAGAAAATATGCTACGTTTATGATCTTTCAAATCTAAAATAACTATTAACATAAATAAACATTTATAATGTTGTAACATTCTAGCAACATTGATCACGAAAGTGATTCAAGCTTCTTCAGCTGCAGCAAGGCCTAGTTTCAGTGCTGGGAAACGTGAGGGGCTTGGGGGGGTCAGAGGCCTTTGCACTGGAACCATCATATGTAGAAGAACTGACCTTAGAGTGCGCTCGAGAAGCAGTGAACGTATTTCTCACAAGTCAGCCAAAACACAAATGAACAAGTGACTGTGGAAGAGCCCTACTCACGTGGAGTTCTTATATTGCAGGAAACCAAATTCATCTCTCTGTCCATCTGGGCAGAGCGACTGCATGATGGGAATGATGCCAGCCGAGGTGAGCGGCGCAGCGCTGTAAAAGGCTGGACATGAGGGGGAAAAATGGGACAGGTGCCACAGAAGGAGAAAAAGACACAGCCACAGACAGAGAGTGGGACGAGGGAAACAGAGGAAGTAAATATGAAGGGTTGGTAAAGGAAATCAGACACCAAACAGGACAATGAGTATGAAAAAGGAGAAGGAGAGATTGTGTTAGAGTCAGAAAGGAGGAAAGCTGTCAGGCAGCACAGCAGTTAATGGCCAAAGAGGCTCCCACATGTCAATGCTGAATATGAAGCCTTTCATCATGTTGTCATGGTCTGTGATATTTTCCCACTTCTGTCCATAAATGCTAGCTGGACCATCTCACAGCCGGTGATAAAAGAAAATTTGGTTCCTGCTAATTGCTCCAGGTTTCCATGGTTACTCTGCTCCTGAAGCTTGCCTGTGGGTGTGGATTCATCCTACCCACAGAAACACTTCCCACTGTCCTCCTGCTCACTCTCATATCTGTATTGTCCAGCTATGCCATTCTTACACTTTCTCTTTCTTACCACATGTTTATAACCACTCTGCATGTCTTTTATCCTGTTCTCACGCCAACCGGTCGCGGTCGGCCGCCCCTCCCTGAGCCTGGTTCTGTCTGAGGTTTCTTCCTGTTAAAAGGGAGTTTTTCCTCTTTTTTCCTTCCCCAAAGTGCTAGCTCATAGGGGTGGGGATTCTTCTGGTTGTTGGGGTTTCTCTCTATTATCGGAAAGTCTTTACCTGGAAATATAAAGCACCTTGAGGTGACTGTTGTTGCAATTTGGTGCTATATAAATAAAAGTGAATTATATTGAATTGAACTTCTCTCTTTAACGGTTGCCTTCAGCTGTCGTAGTCTCTGGATTGCATACTCTTACACCTGCTGCCCTCATAAAGAAAGGTGTCTAGTGCCAGCTTCTAGCCTTTGTTGTTTTACCCTGGTGTCACTGCAGGTCTAAAGCTGAATGTTTCATATTTATTGTATTTAAAAGTTTACGTTTAGGGAAATCTCCTGAAACACTAGGCTTTATAGCCACAAAAAGTCAAAAGAAAAATGTAAACTAACACACTTCACAGAATATCATGGTGAGTTGAAGACAAACCCACAGTGAAATATGGTTTCATGTGTAACAAACGGAGTCTGACCAAGAACAAGCATCGTTCAATGTCTTGCTCCACCCCAGAGTGTGTGCCCAAATACACTCTGCAGCATTAAAATAAACTACCGGACTGATTATAGTAAAAACTATCATCATCATATTATGATTGTTTTGGCTAAAAATAGTTTTTCCAGAATAGTTTTATTAACCTGACCCACTAAACATCGGACGTAAGATAGATAAACAAACACGATTTATTCTGTGTTACTCAAATTATTCACAACATGTGGGGTTTTGTTTTGTTTGTTATTTTAAGTTTTCCAGTTTTTCCTTAACTGGTTTATTTATTTTAATTATTCAACTTATTTGTTTGTAATTAGGTTAAAACGACCATTTATTTAAAAAATGTGAAATATTAAAAACATTGAAATCCATCCGAAAAGGTTGATTCTGTTCATCTGGACGTCTTCAGAGGGAGAAATGTTTCATCATCATCCAGGTGACTTCTTCAGGCTCAGCTGACTGCAGGTTTCTCATAAACAGTACATTTGCTTACTGTTTCAGGACAGTGCCCTCTACCTGTGGAAACATGGGACTACAGAGCCTATACAGGTGGAAGCTTTATAAAAACTCCATCTAATTTAAGTCTAAGTTTGACATTGAAACGACGTCCACAGCCACCAGATTTGGACTATAAAAAGCCCGTCCACAGAGGTCCTACTGACATCAACACTGGAAGTGTAATAGATGTATAAAAAACGACGTCACCTGGAGCTACAAAAGAACCTCGTCAGTGGACTAAAATCGTATGTCCAAAATGACATAAAAGATGTCCCTTTGACGCAGTGGGAACATTTTAACTACACAAAAAGCTGACTTTTACAGATGTTCACTTTTCAAATGAAAACTCAATGAAACAAAAGGTGGAGAAACTATGGAGTCCCCTTAAACTCATGACTGCATTTAACTGCCAGTCCACAGGTTGTGTGGAGATCACAGGGTCAATACGAGATCCAGGCAACAGCAAAGATTGTCTTTACATGTCACGGGTCACCAAATATATATAGAATCATTTATTCAGTGATGAGTCCACAGTGAATAATGCCATCATGCATTTCTATAATGGAAGTGTGAAAATATAAGTAAAATGTGCCCTACAGAGTAGTTCAGTTCATTCTTCAGCTCACTGACATCTGTCCTCTCTGATCAGGTCACAGGCTGGTAGATTTACTGAGGCAGTGTTAGGTGCACAGCATGGTGTAGGAAACAGAATTAGCATGCACTAAACAGCAGCTCATTCAGTTTTCATAGCCTGGTCAGAAACACTGAACATGGTGAAAAGATTCAACAGTAATTACAGAAATATTCGTTAGCGCTGTCGTGGATTAGATTACTTCTCGTAATTCCATTGGATAACAATACAGATGTGCTTCTCTGTGTCCGCCAACCAGCAGTGTGCATCACAGTGCTGGTTCTGAGGTGACCTGAGCGGAGCACACTCACAGGAGCCAGAGGAGCTTTTTTACCTGAGTGCACACACTGAATTACAACCCAGATAATTCAGGAGCTCATGAGATAAAAAGTAAGATGAACTCCCTTCATTACCTTTTTTTGTTTTGCATCTTATAAAGTTGAAAACGTTCCAGCAAGCAGACGTAAAGTCCCAACTGAGAACGGTAACATCCACTATGCTAGGACTACACTAAAAGCATCATGTTGGGGACTGAAGTTACTCTGCAATCCAAGTTTTAGACATCAGACTCATCTGCACTCACGTTTTACCGACTCTGTATGTGCTGAGCTCATTCATTTATGCACCTGGAGCAAATACATCATGCTCGTTATTCATGTTACTTTAAAAGGCACTGTTGGAATTATCCGTACCGGCTCCTGACTGGGCAACAATACTGTTTACCATCTAATGTGTTGAGTAGCCTGTAAATGTGTCCAATGTACAGAGATGGGCAGTAACGCGTTGTAATCTGATTACTTTTTTCAAGTAACTTGACCAACACTGCCAATGTACAGATTCAGAGGGAATATGAAACTGGCTTTTTCAATCTACATCCTTTGGTTTTGTGAGTAGTGTGCCCAACTGCAACCACAACTATATACACCAGTGTGTGTGTACACCTGATCATTTGTTTCCTTTATGAGACATGATTATACATCACTACATTTAAGATGCATCAGACTTGGCTGCCTGTTCAGTCTTTTTCTCTGTGGTGCATTTAAAATGCTCCATTTATAGTTAAACCATGAATTCGTTTCTTGACTTTGTATCAAAAATCAACCTTAAGAGATAACAGAAGGGACAGTTTAAGATGATCACTCAAACAAATCTGACAGCAATTTAAATCAAAGTGAAAGAAATCTCCAACAGCCAAACAATCAATCCGGGTCCCGGGAAGAGCTCGGCCTTCCAATATACAGAGGATATGTTATATAATCTGTTAGCATAAAACAAATGCACAATGACACTTACACACTGGTCCATCCAAAATGTTGAGAACATGCATCATGCAGAAGAAAGAAAGGAAGACAGAAAAAAGAAAGAAATGTAAAATAAAAGAATAAAAGACAAAGAAATCAAATAAACTGGGTGCTCTGATGGCTACAGGGAACAGTTACACATGAAAAACCAGCTAACAGCTGAGCAGACACATCACTAGGAGATGAACTACGAACACAAAAACAGGAAATGTTGCAGAAGTTGATCTCATACTTTTGGTGGATCGAGTGGGAGGACAGTATAAACGGTCCATATAAGACTAAATTAGCTGCTGGTATGATGCTGCAGGTATTACTGTCGGCTGGTCTGCAGCTTCCTTTCCAACGTTTTTTATTTAGTAAAAGCAGTTTCATGTTGCATGTTTTACCTTCGTGAGGCAGTGAGGAGCAGCAGCTGCTGCCTCACCACGAAGCAGGAGCTGAATAATGATATCAAGTTTACTTAAGTTCCTCCTGGTAATAGTACTGACCAAAAATGAGGAGTATTAAGGCAGTGCACATAACTCCACCCCCTTTATGGTAAACTTAAGCCATAAATAGAAACACATTTATTCTAGTCAGTATTGGCCACTTCACTGGCAACCCTCTGCATTCACCACACTGGCATACTTTATTCTAAGGCTGCAATGATTCATCAAGTAATTAGAGTAACTCAATTATACAAAATCCTCAGTGCTGTGTTTCATGCACGACTGTGTTCAGTCATCATTGTGTAAAAACAAGTTTCGCCCACATAAAAAAATATGTATAATATATATTAGGGATGCACCGATACTGGTATCGGGGCCGATACTGTAAAATGTGTGTGTACTCATACTCGTAAAAGTTAAACAGTGCCAATAGTTCAGTGATATTTTGTTAAATTACAATGTGGAGACTCTGCAATAATTTAACAGAAGTGCTTATTTTTCACTTGAAATTTTTTTGTGGTCATTTTTATTAAGATATTATTTATTATCGGCAGAGAATAAAATAAAACCTGTCTTCCAATTCATTGCATTTGTGTGTGTGTGTGGTAGAAGTATCGGTTTTTGTACTCTGTATCGGCAAGTACTCAGATCCAAGTATCGGTTTGAAAAAATTGGTATCGTTGCATCCCTATATT